GAAAGCCGTCTGAAAGGCAGAGCGTCACTCAATGAGCAAAACTATGCGCCACTATGCTGACTCGAGACCGTATACAGATGATCAATAATAGATTCACGAATGTGTACGGTGTGAGCGAGCGTCTTGAGGATGTGCAAGTCATCCTTTCGTGAGAGTCGGAAGGACGTGTGAGCAGAGTCTGAATGCGTCGCACTCATGACTCAGGTGCATGAGAGCAGCTCCATACGCGCGCGCGACACAAAATGGGGATATCCGCCTACTTCTGCGAGTCAAACGTGGACTGCGCGAGTCGGCACAAAACTTTCCGAGTAAGGTCGGCGGTATTCATGAGCAGCGGTGCGTCGTGAGGTATCACTCGCGACTGGCCACTCACACTCGCACACCACACAGCATGGATCACGCGAACGTGCCAGACGCGATCGAGGAATCTGTACCTGCTGAAGTGGTATTTGTTTCAGCGATACCGCAAGTCGCGCTCTGGTGTGTCGCTGCTCATGTTCCCTGCTTCATGATCGCAAAAAAAAAGTAGTCAGTAGTAAGAGAGCGTGCGGCAGCGAGTCGCGCACCGCGTTGGCTCAAGCAGCTGTGCAAATGCTACATCGAGAATCGCCTTGTAATTCTTTTACGGTCCCCGTGATTCTTGAGTTTTGATTGGGCATTATTGATGCCCGTGTCGAGCGCCCCTCGGATGCGCATAGCTGATTCGCTTCAGCGCTTGTACGACGGGGCGGCATCATCCAATCACGAATCAGAATCGTGAATGTCGGTTCGGTTCCTTTGAAATCTAAGACGGTCATGCATGGCCAAGGCTGTGTTCACACAATCTGTATGGCATATGCAGAGATGTGGCGCCATCACATGCTGTATACGCATGTGCAAAGTATGCTGCTGCTGAGCAGCATTCACAGCACCAATCAAGATGTCCGTGCGCAAGTGTGAGAGATACTGCCTAAAGTGAAACATGATTGCAAGGGGCTGAGACGCCGCAACTAGCTGGTCGCCGCGATTTGCGGGATTCGTGGTTGCGCGACCTGCGCTGCGTACGGCCTTTCGCTGCATTGGGAGGGTTGATTCGGTCAACGTCCGCTGATCGTACTCGCGACTCTCAATCAAGCAGCCTTCTCAGCCTAGCGACAGGGGTGCAGGGCAGTGTATGCTGGCTGGAATACGTGGGACGCCATCCGAAAGTGTCCGGTGCGCGAGCTTGCATACTTCATCATTGTCATGCACCTGAACTCACGTTGCCTCGATCACGACTGCATCGCTTGAGAAAGCCAAGCGTCCTACAAGAAGAGTGGGCGTTGCAAGCCAGCATCAACTACGTGTGAAAATGACCCGAAGAGTCCGCTATGATTACCTGAAATAGTGCCGCAAGCGTGCAGAAGGTCAATCTTGAACCTGCTACTGCGACTGATCCTTCTTCCATGCAAAGGTCTCTTGATCGGCGATCTTGCCGAAGTTGGACTATAGCGACTCTGATGAGCTGATCCTATAACTTCAATCGACCGATCCATCCGTCGGTTCACAATAGTGACTGCTGATTGACCGAGCCTGACGCAAGCAAGAAGCGATCACAGCGGGGAACCCGCAACGAAACCCGCTACACCGCGGCATCCAACAGCTGTAAACCGCACAAGCATGGACTGTTGCACTTGCGTGCGAATTCGCTTATGATAGTGACTGCTTGCCAATGTCTCGTTCCTGCATAGGCATGTTTGCAACCCGGCCTTGCCAATATGTGAATGTTGCGATCACAAGATGAGCTGAGCCATCATACCGGTGGCTCATCGTGAATATGTCTTGGCCTGATATGCCGAGCCCTTGCAGCTCCATCAGCCGCCGTCTGGTTCACATGCAGCAGCGCGGCTATGCTAGAATAGATGTCCGCGTGCGTGCACTTAAGCCGGACCTTTGCTCTGCGATCTGCTGCTGTCTGATGGTGCGGCATACACGGATGCAATCGACTTGTAGAGCGCTTGCGTTGCCAAGCAGAACTCCTCTCAGACGAGGGTGCGTGCCTTCCGATGGTTAAGCTGTATGAAACACCGCCTCTTTTCTTCTGAGTCACCGCGCGCGCCCATGCGGACGACATCCCCCAATTTGGCTCGGACAGGGTAATCTGTCCTTGCAGTTGCGTGAGTCAACTTGCAACGCAAGATCACCGGTCGAATATACCTAACGATCGATCGTACCATGATCGATGCGTGCACGGTGCACCCTCTTTCCTCTCTTGCAATCGTGAATCGCGGCGCCGTGTTGGTCCCCTCATCGTGGCCGCATGGTGAGCCAGTCCCAGCCGTGCGTTTGACTCTGGTGGAATGCTACCATCGCTGCTGATCACTTGCCAGTCGTGAGTCGTGGGTCATTGGGACTGCCGTTCCTTCCGATTCGTGTGTTTGATGCGACGCTCACTCAGGACTGGGCAGCAGCGCCAGACTTGGGATGACGAGTCTCTGTATGAAACATTCTCCTTGAGCCCCGGTCATCTCCCATGAGCCCCGTTCATCTCCCAAAACTTCGCCGATTACCTTCTTCGCACGCCCCTGACCAGCAGTCTCCAACAAGTTGCAACGGGCATCATAAGTATCGCCGAGCTATGTCCCAACTCCATCCCTCTCTCCATCCCCGCACCTTTTCCACAGGAGAATCATCGGCGCGCTACTGCTACAGTCCTTCCTCGCATCTCGCGCTGCTACCACCATGAATCTGGCTTTGCTGACGGCACCGTCTGACATGATGGTCTTTGCCAATCGTGCACCTCTCACCCCACCGGCGAGCCCATCTGTAGAATCGCGCAATGGCCCGGAGAAGCTGAGTGAGTGTTGCGAATCGTGCAAGGCGAATGCGCTCGCGCTCCTCGCTGAACATTTTCACGACCTCGACTGCCTCCAAGGGCAAACCGCAATCAAGACCAGTGACAAGCAAGATGCCGTCAAAGAATGGGTCCAAGGTCACCCTGCGCCAAGGATCCCGCCACCACCTCTAGAGCCTCCGTTGAGCGTCGACACGAGCAGCAGCTGGCAGCTGGTGGAAGGATTGTCGGCATCTCCACCTGCTCGCCTGCAACATGGCCCGCCTTCCCCAAGGCCGCGTGAGAAAGCAAAACTTTCAACTTCGCCATCAGGGCTGTACAAGACGCTGCCTCTGCCTCCTCCGCCTCTGCCTACATCTGCGCCTGTTGTGTTGCTCACTGCGCCCCAAAAGCCCAACGCCAGGCGATCGCATAGCAGCCAATCGACCATGTCAAGTCACTCCTCCAACCGCACCAGGAGTTCCAGTTCACCCACTAGAAGATTGCCTTCATCGAGCGGACGACTTGGCAGCGTCTCGCCCTCGACGACAACCTCTTCTAGCACCTGTTCCCTCGTTGGCGGTCACTGCATCCGTGATGGTCTCTACGACGGAGCGGAAATCATCTCTCCATTTGCCGATTTGGTCATCGCAGAAGAATCCAGCTCGTATTGGAGCGACGACAGCAGCGACGACACCTTGACGGGAGCGTCCAAATTCTTGAGAGGCAGAGCTAGAGCATCGAGCGCCACGCTTCCCATTAGCCCTCGAACATTTTCACCTTCAGCGGTCAAAACCGTCATGAGGGAGAGGTGGATCAAGAAGACCTGATTCTTCTCTAAACGCAGGTGAGCCATTCACTTCTCACTTGCATGCGACGGCATCTCGACACGATGCTAGATAGGGATCGCTGACCTCATATACAGCTCGAATGCGCATGCCTTCGTACTCACACGCGATTCTGACTCCAAGGGACATTGAGGCAATATGGCAGTCACCAGGCTCCGAGGAGAAGCAGGCATCCTCTCACAGCGCAGCGACGACCAAAGCCTTTCTTTCTTGAATGGACCATTCATCTTCAAACATCATTCCTCGACGTCACCTGCGCCGCAAGACTGCTGCCATCCGAGTGTACGCGACAGACACCAAAGCTGGCGAGCAGCCGCCTCGGTGAACATTGTATTTGTGTCGATTTCACAAGCACCGTCATTCGAATCACAAAGGACTTTGATGTGTGGTCTTCTGGACTTCATGTAGAGTGTCTTGCCACGTGCTTTGAGTCGAAGCATGTTCGCAGTCCTCCGGCGTCGTATTGACCGAACTGTTCAGAGCGATGCAGTCCGGCCTGCCGCGTTGAGAAGAGAGCGACGAGTGCAGCTACAGCATCTATTCTAGTATGCCGCGTGCTCGACGCCTGATGCAGAGACTCGAGACTTGCCAACCTTTGCAACTTCTGATCCGGCTCGCTGAAATTGATCGAGATGGCACTCACCACTGCGCAGAACTTGCCTTCTTCGCGGGGCGCTGTATTCGCGGCGATTGCAGATGAGATGTCCTAGCTGTTGCCATGGCAGGCAAGCCTCTGCTGAGCATGCATCCACATTGAGCGAGCCAAACTCGCCGTCTCGCCTTGCTGTGATGATTGATCGAGGCACATGTGAAATCGTGAGAACTGTCCCATCATTCCCTATAGCTCCGATTGAATACGCCAAGACCAACTTTTGATTGTGCCAATAACGATTCTTACACTGCCAAGATTTCAGGCTTGCGATTCATTGCTTCTCCACTGAAGCTGAAGGTGCATGATATCAGACCCTCGATCGCCTTGGATCGCCACTTTGATGCAACGCGTGCTTGGAACACTCGTGACTGTTGCGATAAGGCGGACGGTCTTGCCTAGCTGCCTCTCACGAATGTGACTTGATTGCTCTTCTGCCCGCGAGTGATGAGTCTGTGAGTGTCATGACGCCAGACAATGTCTCAAGCGCGCCTGACGCCTCTTCGTCCAGATCGTGCGCTACGGCCGCGTGAGTAGTCGCGATCGAGTCACATGGCCCGCCGCGCCCATACATACCTACACAACATTCACGTTCACATTCACGATTCACGATTCACGATTCACGCAGCATCGAGACAAGTTCACGCCAGCAGGCGCCCTGCATCGCGTCGTGACTCGTGACTCTTGGGAGTGTTCGTTCGGCTTTAGCGGGCCTCGACAGGTGTGGCTGCGCCCACGTTGAGGGCGTTGCTTGCTATCTTGGCTGATGGCTATCTGGAGATCGCGCTGGATTGGGCCTGGCCTGGCCTGGCCTGGCCTGGCCTGGCACCCATGGCATGGGCAAGCAGGACTACCATTCGTGATTCTCTCCTTTTGGTCTTCTTTTGATTCTCAAAGGCCTGGCTGGCCTCTCCTTTGGCAGCACTTTGGCAGTCATCGTCAAAGGAGGGAAGGAAGCCTCTCTGATGCTTGCTGCATCATCATGCGGCAAACTGCTTAGCGTTGCACCGGTCCTCGCGTGACTGACATCTGCAGCAGCAGCTGGACCGCCGTTTGTTGAATTGGGTGCAGCAGACTTGCAGCAATCAGCAAGCGGAGCACAAATGACAGAAATCATTATTGCCCA